TGCAATAGAGGATTGGATAAAAAAGGTGTGGTACATATACACAATGGAGTACTAATCAGCCATAAGAAAGGATGAGACAGTGCCTCTTGCAACAACATGGATGGACCCTGAGAACATTATGCAAAGAGAAATAACTCAGAAAAAGCTAAGAACCATACGATTTCATTCATATGTGTGATATAAACCTAAAATTTGTGAATACAACTAGCAATGTGGTGATTGCCAGAGGGAAAGGGATGGGAGTAGAAGGGGTCCTAAATATATGGGGACAAAAGATTTAACTTTGGGTAGTGAACACATGGTACAATATACAGAGCTTGTCATATAGAAACCCACACCTGAAATCTTTATGTCCATGTTAATCAATATCACCCGATTGAATTTAATTAAAAATTGATAGTATATTTAGAAGAGAAAAATAATGTACAATTTAAAAATATAACCCTCTTATCAACAGAAAAAAACAAATAAAAGTTGACTGGAATATATAACAGAGGAATAAAAGTATCAAAATAAATAAGAAGACAGGATATTTAAAAGGACAGAGATAATAAGTGGTGACAATATGCAATATGGTCCTCTAATTAGAAAATCCAAATGAACCAGGACACAAACTATTCAAATGAATAAGAGACTCTAAAAGCTATTGTATAGAAGATTATTATGCCAAAATCAAGAGCCTAACCACACAAAAGTAATAACTAATTAAGATAATTAATAGAAAATATGCCCCCCAGAAGCAGCAGCAATGTCCAAAATTTACATAAAAAGAAACCCGAGAAAAAGACACACTATTTTTTTGGAGGTCACTTTTAAAAGGTCCTGATAGATTTAAGGAAAGAAGTCACAAATAAATACAGGAGTCCACTGTTTTTATTCATGAGGAAGAGAATATTGTCAAGATGTCAATTCTCCTTATTTACAGATTTTCTACCTATCTGTACTGAAATTTGTCCTCCCCGCTCCTTTTTATATATTGACCCCTAATCCCCAATGTAGCTGTATTGGGAGCTAGGGTCTTTAAGGGTATGATTAAGGTTAAATGAGGTCATAAGGGTGGGGCCCTAATTTAATAGGATTAATGTCCCTATAAGAAGAGGAAGACATCAGAGGTCACTCTCTGTGCGTGCATTTGTGAACAATGGTCCACATGAGGACAAAGCAAGAAGATGGCTATGTGCAAAGCCAAAAAGAGCTCTTAACAGAATGTGTATCTGCCAGCACCTTGGTTTGGGAATACTAGCCTCTAGAACTTCAAAGAAAAAAACATTTCTTTTAAGATACTCCAACTGTGGTATTTTGCTATTCCTTTGCCCGCACTGATGAAGACATTGCCTTGCATATAGCTTTGAAGATGGCTACCCGACTTGGGCTGCTGTTTCGGGAAATCAACCCTGACAAACTGTAAAAGAAGGGAATGAAAGAATAATATCACCCACAGCAAAACAGCATAAATGAGAAGCCCAGTGAGAGACTCTATAGGGAGGTAGTGGGCATGCTCGAGAGTTGAGCCAGGTCTGTAGCCTGCAAGAGAGACAAATGACAGGGTTTGTGGGAGGAGAGATTTTAAAGTTCAGCCTGGCTTTTTCCAACATGCCCTAGGGCAATGAATTTCTCCTGCTTCACTGAAGGAACCTAGAGCAGATCCTCAGAGCCTGCATGCCGGGACCATGGGGTATTATCAGGATGACACCAGAGTTTGGGGTTGTTTGAAACAGTGTGAGTCCAGAAGCTGTGTAATAACCACCTGATACCTCTTTGGTGGGCAGGGACAGACCTTTAAAAAATTAATATTATTCTCAAATATAAGGGATGGAAAAAATGTATCACAAACACGGATATGCATTGTTTCATGAAACACACACACACACACACACACACACACACACACACACACACTTGCTAGAAATATATTTCTTACCATGAATGAGGATTAAAAATAAAAGTCTCCACACCGGATGGAGCATTGTTAGATAATGTCAAATTAGCTAAGTCTCTCAAAACCATGTAGCACAGTCTCTTTCCCTTAGAAAAGAGATAATCTCTCAGTTTGGCATAGTATTTTCCTGGTCCCTCCATACTGTCCCAAAGGGTAAGAGATCCCTCTATTTTTTACAGCTGCATGGCATTCCATAGTAGAAAGATACCACAGCTTTTTTTATCCACTCATATGCTGAAGGGCACTTGGGCTGTTTCCAGATCTTTGCTATTGAAAATAACACTGCCAACTCAGATCTCATTTGTTTGTGGAATCAAATGACCAACAAAATAAGACCCGAAGCAGGGAGACATGGAACAGAATGACATACCTTGATGTGGGGTTGGGCGGGGGAGAGATAAGAAAAGATAAATCAAAGAACTTATATACTTATATGCATAGCCCATGGACACTGGCAATAGAATAGTGAAGACCTGTGTGTGGGGGGCGCATTGGGACTGGGAGGAGGGGGAGGGAATGGGAGATACTTGTAATGCTATCAGGAATTAATTTTTTTTTTAAAATGGAAGGAGATCCTTTAGGGTAGAAGGTTCTTAAAGACTGTCTGGCTGAAGGACAAATGCTATGATGGATCAGTGTGTTTTCCTTACAGCCCATCACCCATCATAAGACCCTGTCTTGCACTGAGACTTCCCCTTCTGGCATCTAACCTGGGGCTCTTACCCATTTTATGCAAAAGGTTTGTAGTAGGGAAACAGCTCAGTTTCAGAACTGGTATTTCCCAGGGAGCCTTACAGGGAACAGTGAAGAGGACAACCTCCTCCCTAACTGCCGCGGAGGACTAACAGGACAACCCACACAGAACAGAAGGGCCGCGCAGAGCCCCAGGCAAGCTTTCATTCTTGTAAGCCTTGGACAGAGCTGATAGCGTGAGGTGCTGGCTGACTTCCACCTCCAGGGTGTCAGGTCTTGGAGGAGAGAAGCGATGCTGACCATCCAGGTGTGGGCTCTCAGACCTGCGGAAAGGGGACTCCCAGGCTCCCAACCATGGGGTCTTCCCAGAATGCAGCGCCCTGACCCTAACCCTAACCCTTACCCTTCTCCCCCCTCCCCCGTCCTGACCCCTCCCACCCCCGCCCCCGCGCATGCGTGCTCACTCACAGGCTTGAGGTCTGACTTGACGCCAACGTTCTAGTCCCTCATTCCAGTCTCAGAGGCGTTTCCAGGGAGTGAGGACTGATCTTACTATTGAGCTGGTACGAAGGAGAGAAGTCCCAGTCTTCGTTGGCGGTGGAGGAGTGGGGAAGAAGACCCCAAGAGGACTGAAGGTACTCTCAACCTCATACCCCTGCCCCCGAGGTCTACCTGGGGGCGGGTGGGGGGGCGGGAACGGGCAGGACTCTCACTCTCTGGGAGGGGAGGGAGGGGAGAGTGACATCTTGGTTTAATGGATGGGGTGGGGGGTCTTGTTCTAATGGTATTGGGGTGGTGTGAGTCAGTGTGTGGGAGTCAGGTCGTGATCTTATGGGGGTTGGGATGGTGGTAGTGGGGTTTGGGGAATGGAGTCTTGGTCTAATGGGAGTGAGGATAGAGTCAGTCTAATGGGGGTTGGGGTGGGGGGGTTCGGGAGTGGGGAGTAGGGGTGTAGTCTAATGGGGGTTGGGGTGGGGTTTTGGTCTAATGGGGATGAGATGGTAGGGGCATGGGGGATAGGGTGGGGATGGGGTCTTGGTCTAATGGAGGTTGGGGTTGGGGAAGGGTGGGGTCTTGGTCTAATGGGGTGGGGTTGGGGAAGGAAGGGGGTGGGGTCTTGGTCTAATGGGTTCTTGGTCTAATAGGGTGGGGTTGGGGAAGGGTGGGGGTGGGGTCTTGGTCTAATGGGGTGGGGTTGGGGAAGGGTGGGGGTGGGGTCTTGGTCTAATGGGGGTGAGATGGTAGGGGGATAGGGGTGGGGGTGGGGTCTTGGTCCAATGGAGGTTGGGGTGGTGGGGGAGTGGGAAGTGGGGGCTTAGTCTGATGGGGATTGGGGTGGTAGGGGATAGGAGGTGGGGGTGGGGTCTTGGTCTAATGGAAGTTGGGATGGTGGGGGTGTTGAGGAGTGGGTGGTGGGATCTTGGTCTAATGGGGGTGGGGATGGTGTCTTGGTCTAATGGGAGTGGGGGTGGGTCTTGTTCTACTGGAATTTGGGGGGTGATAGTAGGGGTAGGGCGGTGGGGTGGAATTTTGGTCTAATGGGGATGTGGGTAGGATCTTGGTCTAATGGGGGTAGGGGACTGGTCATGGGGGTAGGGCGGTGAGGGTGGAGTCGGTCTAATGGGAGTGGAGAGTAGGGTCTTGGTCTAATGGGAGTTTGGGGATGGTGGCGGGTTTGGAGTTGGGGAGGTGAGTTCTTGATATAATGGGAGTTTGGGGATGGGGAGGTGGGTGGAGTCTTGACTCTTGGTCTAATGGGGTGGGGGTCTTTGTCTAATGGAGATGGGGGTTCTTGGTCTCATGGGGGTGAGGGTCTTGGTCTCAAAGGATGGCCACAGGAGTGAGGAATGAAAACCTAATAATTACTTTGCAAAAAGAGATCCCATAAGACACTGCTCCTGATGGAGCTCTAGAAGGCCAACCCCAGCAGGGTGATGAGATAGGTTCTCCCTCGTTTCCCCCAGGCCTCACAGGGGGTAAGGCCATTGGGGTGAGGAGTTTAGTTCACAGCGGAGAGGGGAGGAGGCCGGGCCCTGCCACTAGTTGTTCCACAGGACGATCCTGTGAAAGAGAAGATCCTCCTCCTCAGAGCACAGGGGACCCGCAGAGCCTAACCCCGCCAGCCCTGCTCTCAGCCCCAGGTGCACCCTAACTTCCTCTGCAGGGTCATAGAGCAAGACTGGGCAGAACAGGAGCCCCGTGGGCCCCTGGAGCACTGCCCTCAAACCCTGCAGACATGGCCTGGGTTAAGGCCCAGGTGCCGTGTCCCTTCTGAGGGTGCACAAGCCATCTCCCTCTCCCTCCTCCAGGGGCCCAGTCGCCTCCTCTCTGGCCACACGGGTGACCGCTCTCCCTGACCAGTGTCCTCATGCCTCGGGGAAAGAAGAGTAAACACCGGGCCCGAGATAAACGCCAGCAGGCCCGGAATGAGGCTCGCAGAGTCAGGAGTGCTCAGGCCTCTACAGAGGAGGGAGGAGACTCCAACTCCTCCTGCTCTGGGGTTTCTGGGGTTTCTACCCTGAGCACCCCTGAGTCTGTGCTGTCCCAGGAACCTCAGGGAGCCGCAGCAGCTACTGGCTCTATCAAGCCAAAAATCGCATGGCCAAGTTTTGACACCAGTGCCGAGAGCCGCAGCGAGGAAAGTGCAGGTGCCTCCCAGGCAGAGTCGGTGTCTGAGGGTCCCCGCAGGAGCCCTCTAGACCAGAAGGCGATGCTGCTGGCTCAGTTCATGCTGCGCAAGTACAACATGAAGAAGCCCATCATCAAGGAAGACATGATGAAGCATGTCATCAAGAAGCACAAGCCCTACTTCCAGGAGATCCTCAAGAGAGCCTCTGAGCTCATGGTGCTGGCCTTTGGCATTGATGTGAAGGAAGCCGACCCCGGCGGGCACAGCTATGTCCTGGTCAGCAAATTGCACCACGCCGGGGATAGCAGGCTGAGCGGGGAGATCATGCCCAAGAAGGGCCTCCTGATGACAATCCTCTGCGTGATCTTCATGAAGGGCAACTGTGCCACCGAGGAAGAGATCTGGGATGTCCTCAACGCCATGGGCATACATGCTGGCAAGCAGCACAACCTCCACGGGGAGCCCATGAAGCTCATCACGGAAGATCTGGTGAAAGAAGGTTACCTGGTGTACCGCCAGGTGCCCCACAGCGATCCTCCAAGCCACGAGTTCCTGTGGGGCCCACAGGCCTGCGCGGAGACCAGCAAGATGGAAGTGCTGCAGTTCTTAGCCAAGCTTCATGGTACCCAGCCCAGCGCCTTCCCACTCTGGTACGAAGAGGCCCTGCAGGATGAGCTGGAGAGAACCCGCCACAGATTCGCGGCTGTGGTTCGCACCAGCACCTTGGCCACCTTCTGCAGCCCAGACAAGTATTGAAAGCTGAAGTACTTTCCTCACTCTGTGCTTGAAGTGGGGTGGGGGTGAGGTGGTGTTGGAGGGAACGCAGTGCACATCATATCTGTGATCCTGTTTTGCTATTAAATTGTTGCTTTATCTTACTGTTGCCGAATGCTTTCAAATGTTGTTCTTTAAAACAAGTTTAATTAGCATCAGAATCTAAGTGCACAAATGATACTGGTTATGTATGCATTTAAGGTAGTTTATGAGGCTTAAGAGTAAGAGTTTTGCTTTTTACTAAACAAATGCTGTAACCTTCCGCCTTACGTAGTGATCTGGAACGAGATAACATGTCATTAGAAAATGTATTTCCTTAGAAATGTGACAGAAATGAGTGGCAAAATAGTTGTGATAAACAAGTACAGAGAAAAGTAAAAGATGATCAATTCTTGGTTTCCCTTACTCCTTGTATTCTGCTGTTCCATAAAATAAAAGTTATATGCCTGCACTTGCTTTGTTTATTCAAGTACATAAGAGAAATGAAATCATGATGAATTTCATTTTTTTTAATTCCTCAATTGAGCATCTGCTCTTGGGAAGGCTCCATGGTGGTCAGGGGATGGGGAGGAAAGAAGACAGAGCAACTGCCCCCAGAATGATGGAGGCTAGGAGCAGCTCCGGTGAAAGGAAGATGGTGAGATACCTCTAAGACACAAATCCAGTGAAAAGAAGTATGAGGAGGGGAGAAGAGGGAGGTCATGATAAGGGCAGGCAATCTGGGGTCCTGGGAAGCCTCATTCCCTTCAGTGGGAGATGCTGTTATGTTGAGGGGGGTGGGGCCTCAGAGGAGGGTGTGAGTGTGGTGAGCAAGAGCCAGACCCTTGAGTGGTGGGTCGCAAAGTTGAGGAACTAAGCCTCCAGAGGGGATGTGCTGTTAGCAGTGTCAGTGTCGGGGATCCTGGATGAAGCAGAGAGAAATCTACAGGCAGGGCAAGGGTGGAAGGTGCCCTGGGCTTTGGGCCCAGAGCAGGAAAACACAAGGCACAGGATCGGCATTTTATCACCACCATCTCCAGGGAGTTTCTGAGAAATCAGGGCAGTTTTTCCTCAGGGTAGGATGCCAGGGAGCCACTGTGCGGGCGCCCTTTGCCCTGGGCGGGGAGAAACAGGGTGTCTTATAAAAAGGCCGTTTAGCTAGTTTGTCTTGAGTACAATTTGTCAACCTCTAAGGGAGGCCTTGATTTGGGGAGAGGGTAAATGAATGAAAAATGGGGTGATTTAGAGCAAAGGGCAGCTGGAGGGAGAAAGGAGAGTTGTTATTGACACAATTAATTATTTAGGAGCTTTGTGTAATATGCGGATGAGGGGATCCCCTAACATGCAAATTAAATACTATTTCCACTAAGAGGAATGCTTTGCTAAGGCATTTTTTCTTGCTAAGCAGAATTTTTGGCAGAGTTAACTGCTCTTTAGCACTGCATATTCTCAGATATCTTGATTAACACAACAACACAAAGACAAAAATCTTAGGAGTGTGGGTCTCATTTAAGGTCCAAAGAAGTCATGGTAGTAATTGCCATTCTTTGCCATCTCAATGCACACCAGCCACTGTGCCAGGTGCTTTGCACACATCACACAATCCCAATAGTCCTAAGAGGAAGGAGACACCAAGCCCAAGTCATTGATGAGGAATCCGAAGCTCAGAGAGTTGGAAAGGTTCAGAATTCACAAGGCTAGTGAGTGCCAGAGCCCTGGACTGACTTGGTCAAGAACCCACACTGCTCCACTCCTCCCAGCCTTGTGTTTATTCATTCCTTTCTCTTCTCACCATTCCATGATGTTTCTCAGGTGGTAAGAAGCAGAGGCCTGTGGGTAAAGTACTGAGAGCAAGCATAAAGGAGTGGAAATGAGAATGAAGCACAATGCAGGGATTGTCTGTGGTTCATTTACCCCCCTCTGCCCAGCTCCTTAAGAGCTGACTCTGCCCTGGGCCCAGCACAAGTGTCCAGTCCCAGCCCTTTGCTGCATTACAGTGCCCTTCCCCTGGTCTTCCCCAGTGTGCCTCCTGTCCAGGCTGGAACCTGTCCTGCCATCCAGCTCTTCTCCACATCCTCCCCTGCTGGCAGCACCCTAATCCCCTGTACACACAGCCCATGTCCCCTGTCTCCCCGACCTGGAGCATCCAAATCCCTGCAGATTCCTTCCTTCTCTGAGGACCCCTCAGGTAGCAGCGGCCCTTTCCATGCAATTCCTCACTTCAGATGGGGAAGTTTACACACCTCTCCGCAGCCCCTCTGGCTGCCTCCACCACATTCTCAGAATGCTTTCAAATCTGCTGACTAGAATCTGATTTGGCACAGAATCCACTGTAGAATGTTAATAGGCTAAATTCCTTGAGATTGGCCACTGACTACATAGATGAATAAATGAGTTTACCTTGTTGGTCAACATGAAGCAAAGGTTATCATTTCCAGACTAAGGCATTTGAGCGTGCCTGCTTTCTGTTCAATTCAGCAGCAAGTACTGAGAGCCTGTGCTGAGAGGTGGAATCACATGCATTGGAGCAGCCTTTATCCCTGGGCCACTTGACAGCATAGATCCCAGCATAGACTGCCTATGCCAAATTTAATGTGTATAAAAACAAACTTTTGTGGTGTTAGGTCATTCAAATATTAGGCTTCTTCCATTCCATTCACTAGAAGTTACTTATCTGAATAACACAGGGATACTATTTATGTTGTTAGTCTTACTTACATAGCCTAATTGCCACAGAAATAGTGTATATATTATTTATGTTGAATATATGAGGCAATCGGAACTCTGCCTCCCTTCTATGGTCCTGTAAAATTCAGGTCCTATTAAGTAATCACAAATACAAACCCTGTGTGTATAATTTTTAAAATTTTTCTAGACTTCTTTTTCTTACACTTATGTGCTAGAATAGTACACTGTTGATAACTTCCTTTCAAAATGTCTCCAGTGAGCAGTGAGGCTCTCAAGGGATCACAGTAGGGAGGGAATCCCATTCTCACTCCAGCTTACCATAAATTGTAGCTATATTGCTTCTACACGGTACCTCACTTGTGATAAATAGGTTTTATCACTCCTGCCAGATCAGAAGTTCTTGAGGGTTCATGTTGGCATCTCTCTCTTTTTAAAAAAATATATATTTTATTGATTTTTACAGAGAGGAAGGGAGAGGGATAGAGAGTTAGAAACATCGATGAGAGAGAATCATTGATCAGCTGCCTCTTGCATACCCCCCACTGGGGATGTGCCTGCAACCAAGGCACATGTCCTTGACTGGAATCGAACCTGGGACCTTTCAGTCTGCAGGCTGATGTTCTATCTACTCAGCCAAACCGGTTTCAGTGGCATCTCTCTCAGAGTGGCCAGGAATAAGAGCCAACTCAACAGCACCTAATACGCACAGGTTATATTTATAAGCAATGATACCGAGTAAAACTAAGTAGACCACAGGAAGTAAATTCAAATACCAATCCCTTAAGCAAGCACCAAACATAACACAAAATATCCGCAGGAACTATTATTCTACTACTGTAGCTATAATACATGCACAGTAAATTTAAAACATACTTAAGAAGTAATTGCTTAAAAGAAAAAAAAAGAAGTAATTGTTCCTTTATATTTTTGTACATCCTTTGATGGATGTTATTACTTCCATTGTTAATACTCTTCTATCATTTCATAGTCAGTTACCAAAATTATAATACATTAAGTGTAAGTCCATCAAGTTTGCAAGATAAACATGCAAAATCAATTTTATCTCTATACAGTAGCAATGAACATGTAGACAATAAAATTAAAAATACAATGCAATGTGAAATTGCTGAAAAAAAGAAAATGCTTAGGTGGAAATCAAACAAAATATGTGCAGGCCTTGTAATCTAAAACTAAATCAAATTAATTTTAAAAATCTAAGATATATAAAGAAATACGATACATACCTTGATCATGTATCACAAGACTCAACATAGTAAAATAAACATTTCCATTCTTCCCAAATTGATATATTGCCTTCATCCTACTCCTAACAAATTATAAGAATGTTTTTTAAAGATACAGACAAGATTATTCTAATATGTATATAATAAGAGTAAAGAAGTAGAATAAAAACTGTGAACTTGCATGATCTCACAAATTTATGAATATAATGAATAACAAACTAATGAACAAAAATAGATCCAGAGACAGAGAAACATCGATCAGACCATCAAACCTCAGAGGGAAGGTAGGGGAGGGTGGGGGTAAAGGGGAGAGATCAACTAAAGGACTGGTATGCATGCATATAAGCATAACCAGTGGACACAGACAACAGGGGGATGGGGGGATGAATAGGGGGATGGGGGAATAATGGGGGAATAAGGACACATATGTAACACCTTAATCAATAATGAAATTTTAAAAAAGAATCACTCCGCCCAATTTCAATGCATATTATATAGCTACAGTGATCACAATAGTGTGAAACTGATAGAGGGATAGACACAGACCAATGGAACAGAAAGAACACCAATAAAATAGCCCCCAGTACAGCCAACTGATTTTTTATAAAGTTGGAAGAACAATTTAATGGAGGAAAAAAATAAACTTTTCAATAAATGGTGCTCAAGCAATGGGATATTCATAGACAAAAATATAAACTTCTATCTAAACCTCACAACTTAAACAAAAATTAGCTTATACTGGATCATAGAATTAAATGTAAAATTTTGTTTTCAAAATAGCGTCAATATGGTTAGCCTTAACACTGATGACATGACCCATAAAGGACAATTTTGATAATTTGGACTCCATATTATTTAAAGATTTTACTATTTAAAATGTTTCATCATCAAGTAAGAGTATCGACAGACAAGTTACAGATTTGGAGAAAATATATTTTAAAATATATGTTATTGATTTCCAAGAGGAAGAGGGAGGGAGAGTTAGAAACATCAATGATGAGAGAGAACTGTGCCTTGACTGGTAATCTAACCATGATCTCCTGGTTCATAGGTTGATGCTCAACCACTGAG